AATAGATGAGATCAAAGCTTTATAGTCCTGCCACAGCCTGTCATATATGGTGGTGGACAATTCAATAACTAACAATAAGGGGAGGTCCCCATTTTCGATGATTGGGGACCAGAGCACATTAATACAAAAGATAAGGCCAAAGCATCCACAACAATCTTCAGCTAGAAGTGCTGAGTGGATGAACCATCTCAGCTTCTTCCTGAGAGCCCTAATATCTCAGATGCAAGATTTTTTCCATGTGATATCAAGAAGTATTGAAAGCACTGGATACTACAACAGTTATAGTCCATGACAACATTTCAACAACAGTACTGAAGGTTTGTACTCTAGAGCTAACTGCACCCTGTTCTGCAAGCTGTTCCTGTACAGAGACAAAACTGAAATCTACCTGGCAATGTGGACAGTTCTTGGTATAACCTGTGCACAAAAATCAGGAAAAATCACGATATATTACCACTCCAGCCTACTCTCAAATAACAGCAAAATGATGGAAGGTGTTGTCAACAACGCTATGAAGTTGGGATTGCAGGTGCAGTAGGTGATTAAAAAGGCAAATGGAATTTTGTCTGCCATTGCTCGAGGGATGGAGTTTAAAAACAGGGAGGCTACGCTGCAGCTGTATAGGGTCCTGAGGAGGCCACACCTGGAGTACTGTGTGCAGTTTTGGTCTCCTTACTTGAGAAAGGATATACTAGCACTGGAGGGGGTGCAGAGGAGATTCACTCAGTTGATTCCAGAGTTGAGAGGGTTGGATTATGAGGAGAGATTGAGTAGACTGGGCTTATACTCATTGGAATTCAGAAGAATGAGGGGAGATCTTATAGAAACATATAAAATTATGAAGGGAATAGATAAAGTGGAGGCAGGGAGGTTGTTTCCGCTAGCAGGTGAAACTAGGACTAGAGGGCATTGCCTCAAAATAAAGGGAAGCAGATGTAGGACTGAGGTCAGAAGGAACTTCTTCACCCAAACGGTTGTAATCGGTGGAATTCCCTGCCCAATGAAGTGGTTGAAGCTACCTCGCTGAATGTTTTTAAGGCAAGGCTAGATAAAGTTTTGACCAGTAAAGGAATTAAGGGTTATGGTGAGTGGGCGGGTAAGTGGAGCTGAGTCTCAAAGATCAGCCATGATCTTATTAAATGGCAGGGCAGGCTCGAGGGGCCAGATGGCCTATTCCTGCTCCTAGTTCTTATGTTCTTATGTTCTTATGAAGTGTTGTTTATTCAATAACCTACTCACTGATGCTCAGTTTTAGTTCTACTAGGGTCACCGGCTCCTGATCTAATTACTGCTCTGGTTCAAGCATGAACAAAGGAGCATTTTTAAAATTCATTTGTGGGATGTGGGCATCGCTGGCTGGGCCAGCATTTATTTCCCATCCCTAACTGCCCTTGAGAAGGTGGTAGTGAGTTGCCGTCTTGAACTGCTGCAGTCCACCAGCTGTGGTTTGACCCACAATGCCATAAGGGAGGGAATTCCAGGATTTTGACCCAGCAACAATGGAGGAAAGGCGATATATTTCCAAGTCAGGATGGTAAGTGGCTTGGAAGGGAACTTGGAGATGGTGGTGTTCTCAAATATCTGCTGCCCGTGTCCTTCTAGATGGAAGTGGGCATGGGTTTGGAAGGTGTTGTCTGAGGATCTTTGGTGAATTTCGGTAGTGCATCTTGTAGACAGTACACACTGTTGCTACTGAGCATCAGTGGTGGAGGGAGTGAATGCTTGAATTCAAAAAGACAGGTGAGAGTGACTGCCCTTGGCATCAAGGGAGCATTTGACTGCTTTTGGAATCAAGAAGCCTTCAAAAAACTGCTGTCACTTGGGAAACAGTGGGATTTCCATTGTATGATTTGACTGCTTAGAATTGTATCCAGAAAAATGGAAAATGGTTATGGTTGTTAGAGATCATCTCAGTCCAACATTGCTCCATAAATTTCTCAGTGTCCAACTGTCATCAGCAATGTCATCAAATCTTCCCTCAATGATTATAAGGCCAGATGTAAGGCATCACATGATTGAACAATGTTTAGCACCACTTATACTGCCTCAGATAATGAAGCAGTGAATGATTATTAAAAATATACAAAAAGATAAAGACCATTTATACAAAGGCCAAGACAACATTTGGACTTGGGCTGATAAGTGGCAAGTAACATTTGTGGCTTGAAAATGTCTAGTAATGACCATCTCCCCATGACATTCAATTATATTACCATTGCTTAATCCTCCACTATCAGCATCCTGGGAATTATCATTGAATAGAAACTGAACTAGACCAGCTGAATAAATACTATGGATAGAAAACAAATCAGAAACTGGGATGTCTGCAGTGAGCAATTCACCTCCTGACTGTTCACAGTCTGTCCACAAGACAGAAGTCAGGGATGTGATGGAACGTTTTCTTCTCGCTGGCATGGGTGCAGTTCCAATGACACACAAAAACTCAATACAATCCATTTCAAGAAATGCACTTGATTGGCTCTCCTTTCAGCATCTTCAATATTCCCTCCCTTTACCACAGTGAATACCATCTCCAAGATGCACTGCAGCAATTCACTAAATCTCCTTTGACAAGATCTTCTAAATCTATAATTTGCATAAGATAGAAGAACAAGGACAACAGATGTATGGGAACACCACTACCTGCAGATGCCTCTTGAAGCCACACATTATTCTGACTTGGACATATATCTATGGCCGAGTGGTGTTATTGCTAGACTATTAATCTAGTGATCCAAATAATGCTTTGGAACCTGGGTCAAATCTCACCATGGCAGATGGTAGAATTTGAAATCAAAAAAAAATCTGGAATTAAGATTCTAATGATTGTTATTTGAAATTTTGAAAAAATCCATCTGGTTCACTTATGTCCTTTAAGGAAGGAAACTGCTATCCTTACCTGGTCTGGCCTGCATATAACTCCACACCTACAAATCTAATGAAAAAAAAATGAAATTTTAACATCAGGAACAGTGCTATTGAAATGACAGCAATAGAATCCATCCTTTGTTTTGTCAAGATTTATCTCAAAACACACCTAAAAAAGATGCTGTGGTTATTTATTTTATTACATTTTTGGGACGGGGCTGAATACAAGTTGGCTGCCTGGTTTCCTGCATTTTAACAGTGACACTTCAAGAGTACTCCTTTGGTTATAAAGCACTTTGGGGCATCCTGAGATCATAAAAGGTGCTAGATAACTGCAAATTTTCTCTTTCTTTTTGATAGATGACACATTACATATTAATGAATGCAGAAGTGGAAGTCCCTGGCTATTGACAGTGGTAAACAGATATATAGACAAGTTCACAATTGTCTGACTAATTTGGGTGTCCCATTGGATAATGGACATTTTCAAAAGTAAAAACTAAACATTTCATCGAATAATTGAACCCAGTCTGCATGATGTAAACAAACTTAAAGCAGGATGACAATTTTAGATTTTCTATAGTATTAAGATTATTTGACTTACACGTAACTAACTAATTAAGTAACTACTTATGTATAACAGATATTACCAGCAAAGAACGCAGAACCACATCTAGTGGGGTGTAATTCAAATGTAGCAGTGGACCAAAACGGCCAGCAGTGGATTTTGTAGCCATGTCTCTTCATTCATATGCTAGCCAATTTACTAATGGCCATTTCAAATCCCCATGTCAATATTGAATTTTGCTTCCCATGATTTCTAAATTTCTGTAGCTCATTAGAGTGGCTTGATAATTAGAACTGTAGACAAGATGAATATAAATGTAAACTCAAATAATTCAAGATTTCTTTTGACAAATTATCTCTCTGCTTTAGTTTTTTTTTCACGTTTTGAAGTGATCATATTACAAAAGCATTTGACACTAAAACACAAATTCCTGTAAATTTCACTGCATTTTGTGACCTGAAAGTAAACTATTGCATAACATTCTGCTCTAATCGCTAAGAGGTTGCTATTATTCTTCTTTTGGAGGATAAATGCATTACCATGAATACTACTGAGCCATGTGGACTCATAATGCTCCATGTTTGCTCTAGTTTGGTTGCATTACTTAATGTAATTAATTAACAGCTATATAACTGGGCATAGCACTCCTGGCATAAAAAGCCGAAGAAAATTCAGACAAGGTTCTTAATCTGATTGCAATTCAATGACTCTTACTAAAAAGTGCATGTCACAAAAGGCTAAGGTGAAGCTTACTTGTTCTGCTCTTGATACATGCTGTCTGGATTTACACACGAAGATTGGCCAATTGGTCAGGTATTTGTAGGCTTCTACACCTGTAGATCTAAAGCCCACTGTAAATTGGCCATATCAACTGAGCAAGTGGAAAAACTGAGAAGAAACAAATGCGTGCATCAAGAAAAAAAAGTAAATGCCTTAATGTTAAAAGTGTAATTATTGGTAATTCTTTCATGAAAATCCTTCTTTCTTTAATATGATCTGTCCTACCGAATGATCTTATCATTTGGACCAGTCATTGCAATTGCATGGATAACCTTTATTCCATTGAACCAGGAATGAAGAAATTCTCGATTGAAATAATATAGACGTACTATTTTCTTAGACGTAAAAATGCTTATGTTCTATTATTAATAAAGCATTCATTTATTGCCATAGTTATGAAAACAATCATGTTACTTTGGTCAGATGTGAATCATCTCACTGATCAAATGCAAAATTTTCTTCAAACAGACTATTATCTTAAAACCTTGCAAATGTTAAAAATGTATAAAGCACTAAATATGGCTCATTTAGTATTAATTTAAGAAACTACACACCCTACACAACAAATTTATTGCAGCTATATCAAAAACACTGTCAACAAATGCACAAAAATTAAAAAAAAAGACATGTTTAAAGGTAAATTCTTCGGAATAGTTCTGAAATTTTCTGATGCTCTGACATTTAATGTGACCCTTCTACATCCCAATTTAAAACTTGTAATCAGCATTTGAAACAATTAAGGAATTTTAATCGAATTTTCATTTTATAATCTCCACCAAATCTCTCAGATTGTCTGCCAACTTTTCCCAATGAATTGGATGTGTTCTTTGGCTTTCATTCTTAGGGAAGCTATACTGGAGTTTCTTTGTTCTGCATCTTCCAAAGGAAATTTGTCCACATAAGGTGTCCCACATTGGAAGGTTGAGGGAGTGATTGCACCCATACTTTGCAGGCTGTGGCTCATGGCTGAGGAATTCAAGAAAGGTGGAGGTGTATAACTGCTCTGCAGGCCTTGTGTTGTGGTCATGAAACCTGGAAGGCTTTGTAATGTGGATGAGCTGGATATTGGTGAAGTGAGCCAAGGGTCAAGTGCCAAGTTACCGTTCAGAGTGCTCATGGTAGAAGTTTGTGACGATCTGTTGAAGGAAAGCATGGGTGAATCTTGACGTTTCATTACACTGGCTTCCAATTTCTCTTGCCTCCTCCACTTGGCTCTTCTGTTTTGAAACCATACCTGAAATGAAAGGACATTTTAGTGTTAAGATATAAACAAAATTTGCAATACCATGTATTTAACTTATAATGCTACCCCCACCCCTTCAAAGGTTTACTGTTGGGAATATGTTTCATATGTTTCCTGGGGTTGATATTTTACCCTTTTTTTCCTGGCTAGGATCAGCTAATTCAGCATAGAAAATTAAAAACATATTTTTAGTGAAAATAGCTCCTATGGCTTCCAGTAGAGAAAGATACAAAGCCAAAGATGTTCTCAGCATTGATACAGAACATAAAATAGAAATCAGATGGGAATTGTCTAATACACAAACTATGAGTGAATTTTCTAATAGGCAGGTATTGGGCCTTTTTGGGGACTCACCAGGAGACATGCTTCTACTTGGTTTCATCTGTGTGTTTTCTTTTGCATCTTAAGCAGAAATTGCACTTCATTTGTATTCATGTTAGAGATTATATATGTTGCTACTTATAAAGAGTTTTTAAAAAATATTGCTGAAAAGATTCCAGTCTCTTGTAATATTGTTTGGTCCGGATGAGAATTCTCATAATCAGAAAACAGCTATGTTCAGGTAGACCGAAATACATACAAAAAATGTTCAAAAACTGGAGATGGGATTGTTGGCGATCCTGGTGGATTTAAGTAAACACTGTTTAAATTTGAAAATTGTCCAGGACTTCCAAGGGATCACCTGAATTCCTTTCCAGCCTAATTTTGCACTGCTGTAAAGCTAAGCTCTCGATTATGGACAAGTATGTGGTTGCCTTCTTCAGGTTTACCTTCCCACCTGGGTCAGATCAGGAGATGATCCCCAGTTCATATGGTTAATTGTGACACAAAAAAGAAACATTAAACATAAATATACATTATTACTGTTTGCCTTTTTTGGTCAGTGTGTTGAGTATAAGAGCTGATAGGTCATGCTGTGGCAGTACAGGACATTGGTTAGGCCACTTTTGGAATATTGCATTCAATTCTGGTCTCCCTGCTATAGGAAGGATGTTGCAAAAATTGAAAGGGTTCATAAAAGATTTACAAGGCTGTTGCCAGGGTTTCAGGGTTTGAGCTGTAAGGAGAGGCTGAATAGGCTGGGGCTATTTTCCCTGGAGTATCAGAGGCTGAGGGGGTGAACTAATAGAAGTTTACAAAATCATGAGGGACATGGATAGGGTGAATATTCGAGGTCTTTTCCCCAGGGTAAGGGAGTCCAAAACGAGAGGGCATTGGTGAAAGGCAAAGATTTAAAAGAGACCTCAGAAGTAACTTTTTCATGTGGAGGGTGGTGCGTGTATGGAAAGAACTGCCAGAGGAAGTGGTGGAGGCTGATACATTTGCAACATTTAAAATGCATCTGAATTGGTATATGGATAAGAAGAGAGGGATATGGGCCAAATGCTGGCAAATGGGATTAGATTAATTTAGGATATCTGAGCGGCATGGATGATTTGGACCAAAGGGTCTATTTCTGTGCTGTCTGACTCTATGACTCTATAAAGATATTAAGGGATCTGAACCAAAGGCAGATTTATGCAGTTAGGCCACACATCTCATTGTATGGTGAAACAGGCTCCACAGGCTGAGTGGCCTTCTCCCATTCCTGTGTTCCTGTGTGTGTGAAATAGAGCATTACTTGCAGGTGGTGATATTTCCATTCATCTGCTGCCCTTGTCCCAAAATAATATGAACAGGACTTTGGAAAAGAGAAAAGGTTGCCAGCTGATTTCCTTAAATTGATGGAAAGGAAAACAATGGGGGCATGGTTGAGCCAAGAGGCCAAATCAAGAGAAATGGATAAAATCTGCAAATTAACAAATCAATGGAAGAAGATGAAATTCAGTCCAGACACCAATAGATTCTGCAGAGGGGAAAAATGTTATTGCGAGTTGAATATGGATGTTGGAAAAATAGCTAATGGTGAAGCAGAACGAACTCAAGCAATAGTGAACTAGGCATTTAATACAAGATGGCTCACCAGCATCTTTTTATGGGCAACTGGGGATGGGAAATAATGCTCACAACCCAGAGTAAATAAAACAAAATCAAATTTTTGGAGCAGCAGAAAACATACAGAATTCCTCAATATCTTGACTTGTAAAATGAAAGCTGCAGCATGGTAGCAAAGTCATAAGGGATACATTTGAGGCTCTTAAGCTACAGAAAGAAAAGCTATTGGGTTTATAGGACATGGGCTTTAGGCTTGCAAGGAATATAGAAGGAAATTATAATCACAGAGTCATAGAACACAAATGCAGATCAACTTATCCAACTCGTCCATGCCAACCAGGTTTCCCAAACTAAAGCAGTCCCATTTTCCTGTGTTTGGCCCATATTCCTTTAAGCATTCCCTTTTCATGTACTTGTCCAAATGTCTCTTCAATATTGTAACTATAACTGCATCTGCCACTTCCTTTGGCAATTCATTCTACATATGAACCACCCTCTGTGTGAAAAAATTGCTCCTCAGGTCCCTTTTAAATCTTTCCTCTTTCATTTTACAATTATGCCCTCTAGTTTTGAACTCCCCTATCCTAGGGGAAAGACCTTTGCTATTTACCTTATCTATTGCCTCTCATGATTTTATAAATCTCTATGAGGTCACCTCTCAACCTTCTATGCTCCAGGGAAAAAAAGTTCCAGCCTGTCTAGCCTCTCCTTATAACACAAACCCTCCAATCCCGGTAACATCCTTGTAAATCTTCTCTGCACCTTTTCCAGTTTAATAATATCCTTCTTGTAGCATGACGACCACAGTTATACACAGTATTCCAACAGTATCCTGTATGTGCATTTTCATTCTGATCTTGTGAAAACATTACACAATTGCATATAAAATTATACTAAACACAGGAAATAGGATCAGAGGTAAATCGTATGGATCTTCAAACCTGCTCCTTTATTTAATGCAATCCTGGCTGGTATTACACTTCAATGCCACTTTACTGCCAACTCCCTATATCCCTGAGGCATCAAATTTCTATCTCATTCTTGAAGGTATTCAATAATGGAATATCCAAACTTTCTGGAGTTGAGTTTCAAAGATTTGCCACATTTTGAGTGAAGCTGTTTATGCTCATCTCAGTCTGAAATGATTAGTCCCTTATACAAATGAACCTGTGACTTCCTTCTCATAATTCTTTCAACTTGTCAGTATATCTGGCTAAATGTGCAGATCATCACTTAAAGCTCTGATATAAAAGTGTGTACATAACCAAACCTGGCACTTCATCAGGTTTAGCAAATTGTTTTTGATCTGCTCAAAGCAACAATATTTGATCAGGTAACTTGTTGAGTATGCAAATTACAGAAATTGTTAGGGGTAAACATGCTTTTTATTCATGGGATGTGGGCATTTCTGGCCATTGCCTAACTTGAATTGGCAGTTAAGAGTCAACCACATTATTGTGTGCCACATGTAGAACAAATCAAGTCCCTTAAAGGGCATTAATGAACCAGACAGGATTTTACATCAATGTTGGTCACCATGTGGTGATGACACCAGTGTGGTATAGATACATAGAAAATCGGAACAGAAATGGGCCACTTTCAATATGATCATGGCTGATGATCCAACTCAGTACCCTGTTGCATTTTTGCCCCATACCCTTTGATCCCTTTAGCCCTAAGAACTATATCTATCTCCTCTTTGAAAACATTTAATGTTTTGGCCTGAACCACATTTTGTGACAGACAATTCCAATAGCTTACTGCTCTCTGGGTGACAAAATTTCTCCTCCTCTCAGCCCTAAATAGCTTAACCTGTATTCATAGATTGTGACCCCTGGTTTTGGACTCCTCAGTCATTGGACAAATCCTTCCTGCATTTAATCTGTCTAGTCAAGAACAAAGAACAAAGAACAAAGAAAATTACAGCACAGGAACAGGCCCTTCGGCCCTCCAAGCCTGTGCCGATCCAGATCCTCTATCTAAACCTGTCACCTATTTTCCAAGGATCTGTATCCCTCTGCTCCCTGCCCATTCATGTATCTGTCTCAATACATTTTAAATGACACTATTGTGCCTGCCTCTACCACCTCCACTAGCAACGCGTTCCAGGCACCCACCACCCTCTGCATAAAGAACTTTCCACGCATATCTCCCTTAAACTTTTCCCCTCTCACCTTGAAATTGTGACCCCTGGTAATTGAGTCCCCCACTCTGGGAAAAAGCTTCTTGCTATCCACCCTGTCTATACCTCTCATGATTTTGTAGACCTCAATCAGGTCCCCCCTCAACCTCCATCTTTCTAATGTAAATAATCCTAATCTACTCAACCTCTCTTCATAGCTAGCGCCCTCCATACCAGGCAACATCCTGGTGAACCTCTTCTGCACCCTCTCCAAAGCATCGACATCCTTTTGGTCATGGGGCGACCAGAACTGTACGCAGTATTCCAAATGTAGCCGAACCAAAATCCTGTACAAACCAAAGTCCTATACATCGTCCTGTTAGAATGTAACAGATTTCTATGAGATCTCCTTTCATTATTCTAAACTCTAGTGAATACAGTCCAAACTGATCAGGTCTCTCTTCATGCTCAATCCTGTCACACCAGGGATCAGCCTGCTATTCGATTCCATGGCCCCAAAACATTGGCCCAGCACTTGGATTACTGGTCAAGTGAAATGACCACTTCACCACTGTCTTCCCCTAAATAGCTATGCTGCTGGACAAGTGTTTTGTTTCATTCGTAAATAAAAACAGATATTGCCACTGAAGCAATTATTTGATTTTTTTTACAGGGAGATGTTCCCTGGTTGCTATTTTACTGTTACATTCACTGCCCAGTAGGAAAACTTTTGCATACCAGATTACTGAAAGTGTAAGCGAACAATAAAGCAGCAGTAGTCTTACTGATTGGTGGGATCACCAACAGCATGGTGGTTCAGTAGTTAGCGCTGTTGCTTTGCAGCACCAGGGACCTGGGTTTGATTCCAGCCTTGGGCAACTGTATGTATGCAGTTTGCACATTCTCCCTGTGTCTGCATGGATTTCCTTCAGGTGCTCTGGTTTCCTCCCACAGTCCAAAGATGTGCAGGTTATGTGGAATGGCCATGCTAAATTGCCCACAGTGTCCAGGGGTATGCAGGATAGGTGGGTTAACCATAGGAAATGCAGGGTTAGAAGGATGGGGTAGGTGGGTGGTTTTGGGTGTGATGGTCTTCAGAGGGTTGGTTGGACTCAATGGGCTGGATGGCCTGTTCCACACTGTAGGGATTCTATGATCTCTGCTCAGGATGAGATTTATAGATTTTTATTTGGTGAAAAGGAACCCCAGATGGAAAAAAAAACATTGAATTGAAGTCAACCCAAAGTGCAAAGGTAGAAGGAAAGAGACGGGTAGTAAGATTGGATCAACAGAAAGATAAAATGCTGATTTCTTTTAAAAAGAAATACAATCGCTCAATTTTCTGCAGTGAATTTAATTCGTTTTAAAAACGCGAACGTAGCAATGGTCTTGGAATTCACGGAGTTGACAAATAACGATAGTTTAAGAGGTTAAACGGAAAAGCAGAAAGTCCAATTATTTGCATAAATTCTCAGCAATGGAATTTGTATAATAAAGCAACGAACTGCGAATGCTGAAGATCTGAAACAAAAACAGAAATTGCAGGAGAAACTCAGCAGGTATGGCAGCATCTGTGGAGAGAAAACAGAAGTTTTAATGTTTCGAGCCATTGACCCTGCTACCAGACCCGCTGAGTTTCCCCAGTAATTTCTGTTTTTGTTTCATGGGATCTCTTGCTCATTCTGAATTTCTGGTGTTATTTACACAGAAATAATTATATGTGCATTTATTTCGGCAGGCTCTTTCGGGTCTGTCTTGTTTGCACATAACTTACATGTTCTAATGAAGAATGCTGCCAAAGAGTCTCTTCCAGTTGACAATATTCCAATTTACGATCCCACTCAGCAACCTGCGCACAAACATTTGCTCATTTTCAGTCCGCTGAATTACCCACACCTTGCGGTATGTGAAGTCGCACTGAATTCAGGAATCTGGCCTGAAATTAAACAAATCTCTGGCGAAGGCCGAATGTTTCGAGCGCCAAAAAATGAATTTTAACTACTGCGTCTTCGTTATTATTACACCATTTAATATGATTGAAATGTTTAATAAAGTTATCAACCAGTTTGCATAGCTCAACAGCTTTTTTTTCCCCTCCACAAGAATCTTTTTTTAAAAGTTTTGAAACTATTTAGGGGCCGAATCAGCAAAGAGAAAGTACCTTTTTGCATATTTGCCTAATTTAATGCCTGTAAACAAAGATTTGCTGGAAATATTTGATTAGATCTCATTTTTTGGGGTGTTAGATCCATATACTTGTGCCAGAACGCGGCCTAAGGAAAGCAAGATATATTTAGTGTTAGAGATGGATGTTAATAATTGGATTCCTATTTCTTCGCTATTTTCATGAGTGAGTTTGACTTGAATCTATTTCTCGGTTAAAGTTTACCTATATCAACATTTACTTTGCAATCTGGTCTAGAACAATCTTTTATGACCGGAAATGCCAACTAATACAATAATAATAATTCAGGCTTTTAATGTCTACCAGGATAAAATCAATTAACCATACCGCCCCTTTGTTCGGAGCGGGTTTCTTATGACTTTGCAGGGCCCTTAGAGAACGGAAAGAGCAAGTTAAAATTGCTTGTTACTTGGGTGGAAGAGTTCTTGCCACAAACTGTTTCAAAGAAAACAGAAATAAAAGGAAGACTCCCAGATTGTTAACGATCGCTGGTTAGTTCAAGATTCGTTTCTGGGAAGAAAAGAACAAACTGCAATGAAACTCCACCGAATCTTTTTGTTTAAACTATCAGCTGCATATGATTACTGTTACACTGCTAAAAAGAAATCGATTTCCGAATCGTACTTTGAACAAAATATCCAACTTGAACAAAACAAATTGCTTGTGGTAATACTAATGTATTGTAGTAGGGAAAGGTTTAAAAGGGACCTGAAAGGTAACTTTTTCATGCAGAGGGTGGTGCGTGTATGAAATGAGCTGCCAGAGGAAGTGGTGGTGGCTGGTACTATTACAACATTTAAAAGGCATCTGAATGGGTATATGAATAGCAAGGGTTTAGAGGGAATATGAACCAAGTGCTGGCAATGGGACTCGATCAGTTTATGATATCTGGTCGGCATGGGCAAGTTGGACCGAAGGGTCTGTTTTCATGCTGTATAACTCTATGACTATGCCGAATGAATTTAATCTGACACTCCTGGTTACAAACCACTCCATTTGTATTCTGAGATAGTAGGAACTGCAGATGCTGGAGAATCCGAGACAACAAGGTGCGGAGCTGGATGAACACAGCAGATGATTCTGACGAAGGGTCTAGGTCCGAAACGTCAGCCTTCCTGCTCCTATGATACCATTTGTATTCTGCCTAGCAGGTACCGTACATTGCTTCCCTTACTGTCGTGTCCTTTCGTGTGTTAATCATGAATAGGATTGCATTGTTTAGTGCCCTTAATTTGTCTGGGCAGATTGCAACGTTGCAGCAAATTTTAAGGCAGAATACATGAATACAGGAAAGATGCATGGGTCTTATATGTTGCAATCTTTGCCCAAGATAATCAGCTTTCATTTAGCCCTATGCAAGGTACGTTTATGATATTTCTGAAGTACTGATTTTTAGGTAGCAGGATCTTTAATAATCATGAAATACATTTAAGAGTTTCTCCTTGCAGTTTAAAACTTGTCAAATTCGACGCATTTTTTTTTAATTGCCAAGCCAAACAGGAGTAGAAAAGGTTCGTTAAGACTGCGAACCTGATGAGTCCGAGCACAGCAGAAACCGTGCGTGTTCTGCACGCTGTTTGGTGAGAAAACTTTAGATGGCAGTTTCTGCGAATCTGGAGCAATAACCTAACCTGGACGCAGCCCAGTTGGCATTTAGCTCCCACCCGCAGACACTGACTAACTGGTCATGTACGTCCAGAATCTTCTCGCAACAGTATTAATCTCTTTGATGTATAATATTGTCAGATGTTACCAATAAATCGTATTGTCAAATTACTATTGGGCGCAGTTCAATAAGAATCACATGTGACATTTCCTCCAGGTGAGAGAAACAACGTTGCTGGAAAAGCTCAGCAGGTCTGGCAGCATCTGTGGAGTGAAATCCGAGTTAACGTTTCGGGTTAGTCGACGTTTCTTCAGAACACAATGTTTAACACCGGAAACTTAAACTACGATTTTTTTTCGCAGCAATTTCCGTTTTAGTTCCCGATTTACAGCATCTGCAGTACTTTTCGGTTTTATTCTTCTTCCAGCATCGATAATATTGTTTCAAGGGAGCCACCACTCCAACTGAGGTTTCTACACTTTACGTTACACATAGAATTTAACAAATCTGTAGAAATGTATTGGAGGCCTTTTTTAAAAAACAACCGGGAATAATTTACCGTTTTGGGGTCATCAGGACGAACGACAATATTTGAAGTTGTAAAATTAAATAACAAGGCATGAATTGATGGTAAGTATGTCTGCGCTTTAAGGTTCATTTTGATCATACAGATGAAAATACGAGCGGAAGAAGACTATTTGGCCCCTCTATCCTAGCAGATCATTGTCACTGTCTCCCAGAGAGAGTGTCTGTCTATCCCAGCTAGGAATGAATTCAGTGATAGAGCACCACAACCCTTTGGTGTAGACAATTTCAACCATTCAGAATCCCGGGAATCTCCTAAAAGGATAGATTCCTGGTCCTGAGACTGTGAACCCTCACCCACACACACACATCTTCCAGATCCCTCAGTCAATGGAAACGACCTCTCAACATTAAACTGGTCAAAGCCTATTCCAGTTTTCCATCTTTCACCGAAATCATCTCTGATTCTTCTAAAACCCAAAGAATTTACTTCATCTCTCGTCCTTAAAGAACCCTCTCATCCCACGCACCAAATCAATGGACGCTAACTTCACGAAGTGACATGTTGGAAATAAAATACAATACTGAATGGATGATCAGGTAATAAACTTCCAGAACACCCGGTGACCGGGTCAGAAATTACCTCAGAGACAGTAACTGTCAGGCAGGCGAAATCTTAGAGAGGTCAATCATCGCGTCCCGCTCACAGCTTGTGTTTACATCTAATGGCTCATCATCGAATCGTGAAACTCAGGCAAGAGAAGTGAGCATTGAGCAAGATACGAGCACAGCACGGACACAGAAAGAGAGGTATCTCACCTGTACCCGAACCTCAGGTAGGTCGACTTTCATGGCCAGCTCCTCTCTGCTGTAGACATCTGGATAATGGGATTTCTCAAAGGCCCTCTCAAGCTCATGAAGTTGGTATGTGGTGAATGTTGTTCGGTTCCTCCGGTGTTTCTTCTTGGGTTGGTCCGCGTTTATCACACTATTCTCCTGTTGCTTGCTTTTGACAATGTCCGGAGGCCGGAGACCTTCGCCACTGCTGTTCGTACAGAAGTGATCTGATCCGAACAAAAGAGGACGACATCTTTATTTCGCATGTTTTTGTTAACCTACTTCGTTAAGCTACAGTATTTAGATATTTTCTAACCAACCAGGTTATTACAGGGATGTTATTACACACATCAGGAGCCGGCCCTCCTGGATCAGAGGTTGGGACATGACCACTGTACTACAAGAACCCCAAGTTGCAGTATTTATCACAATTCTTTAAAATGATAATAGCGATTGGCAATGAGGGGATCAACGTTTCATTATTTGCAATTACAGCCATTGTTATTAAATGGAGTTAAATGGACAATCCACTCCAGAATACAACTGCGACACATTGACACCTAGTCGTACAAATGGACATGCGTATTTGGGGCAGACTTCACCCGTTAGCCTTGTATTAACATTAATTTGCAGCGCAGCATCATTGTGAAAAGGGAACACGCTCTTACCATCCAAAGTCTCAGAGTTCTCCTGGTCATGCTTTAAGTTTGACATTCGGTTGAAACAATCCCGGCCGTTGCTTTTTCCCGCTTCCTCCACATTCCTGGAGTTTCTGTGGGAAGTGAAGGGCGAATGGAGGACGGAATCTTCTTTGGTAAATCCCAAGATTGCGTCTATGCTGTGGACCCTGGAAGAGGCGCTTCCCGAACTCCTGGCCAAGCTCCCAAATGGGGACAAACTTCCATCCATCGCGCTGCTGGCCGGGCTCTGCAACCGCATGAATAATCAACGGCGAAATAATAACGACCAACTTCCTGTCCGCCTGGACCAACGACAACAATTCGGTTTCTGCACGCTCAAGCTTCACTTTTTCTTTGCTTCTTTCAGCTTCCGGGGTTTGCTCCTTTCAGCGATTCTACAAGTGGTTTCTTTTTTGTTTGGTGTAACTTCCTTCTCCTGTTTGTTTCTTTCAGAAACGCTGCCAGTGGTCACGGAGAGGTCTCACTGGAACGTAAGGGCGAAGACTCAGTGCAGGTGAAGCGCCGTTTGGAGAATGAATCTTTAGCTCCTAAAGTGGACCTGTCCCCGCTCCGGCGATCACAGCCTTCGAGCTCATGCATCAGTTCACATCCATTCACAGGCACCTCCTTAAACACTCCGAGAGCCGCCCACCGAGCTGGCGATCCATAGGTTTCCGCTAAGCTTGAGATGCTGTTACCAGGGCCTTGGAGCACCTAGTAACTTGCAGCGCCAAGCCGCTTCCTGACACCTCTTGTGGCGCCTCTGTGGAAAGTGGTCCTTATAAATCTTGGACCAATCTTTGCCTCTCCCAGCTGTCGCATCGATAAAAAAAAAAGACTGGGGGAGGGACGGATACAGATTAGAGCAGAGTTTGTGCAGACAGAACACGACCATACAATTGAACATCCTCCATAAATACAGCTTACCAATGTGCGATTCATTTACAACATAAATTATAGCTCAATCCTCTTTTATACTGGGCGGTTGTTACACAATATCGGAATATGCACTGTGGTTTAAAATAGGGGCTAGAACTTAGTACACCTTGCGTAAAGGTCTAGGTAGCCACATTGAAACAGCTAAAATAATGTGCAGATATATTAATAATTACAATCAACAGGTCACAAAATAGGATTATGTATGATACCAATTAAATAATTTCATTCTCACACATCCACATTTGTCCAGTAGATGAACAGTGAGGAATATCCCGGAGTATTTCCCTGCCCTTTAAAGGACAATCGAAAAACTTTACCAATATCGCCACTACAAACAAATAAGAATTACAGTTCAGTGAAGGCTCGGAGCTCGCAACTGTCATGACCCGATAATAATTATTTGCGTCATTATTGTTCAGTTATTGGGCTTTTTATTGTTACTCTCCCATCTTTAATATTAAATATTCGAACATCTATCTGTTCAAGTACACTGCAGAGAGAACGACGCGGTCCCATCATTGCTGTAAATATCCGCTAGCTCCTGTTGCTCGATGTATTCGAGCATTCTGTTAAAGGACAGTTGGGGAACGCATTGTAAAATGAAGAGATGTCCTTGTAAAGCAATTACTGGGAACCTTGTCTCAAGGGGACGCTTCTAGTAATCTCCTTCAAGTCAGACATGTGTGCCAACAAGTGCTTGGTTAGATCGTTTATTTGAGTCTATTGAAAGGTTTACACATTAATTAATGATTTAATAGGATTTATCGTTAATTAGTTTATCCGTGAGAAGAAGCCATTGCGCTCTAAGTTGCATTTTTAAAAACATTGTTTATGCATCCACTTTCTTCTTTAAATGCTTTTTTTTCGTTTTTTCGGTTGCTGAAATGGTTAAGAGCCACATTGGTGGATATTGTTCCTATTAAGCTCTCAGTTTTAAATTTCTCTTCCCTGGAAGAAATTTTACACCCGGTGACGAGGTAAGTTTCAGTGAGAAGCGGTTCGCCACCAAATCGCATGAATTGTATTGGGTACATAGTAAAAGTGTAATGCAGGGTAGTCACTAGAACCGGAGACAATGAATGCAGCGCAATGTATTTCATTAAAACACAAGAAAGTAACCTCTTTACATTAAGGTGTTTACTAAATTAGTGATAACTTGAACTTTAGAAAGCAGCACTTTAATTGAAAACGATTTGCTTGCTGCACGTTTAAACGACAGCAGAGACTAGTGTCTGTCCCACAATGTAAATAAAGCTAACAAAAGTTAAAGTGATCACTACAATTAGAGCTAAACTGAGTGGCTGCATCTTAGTCCAATGCCCACACGCTGCTAAGGGGCTTAAGGCATTTTCCGTTGTAAGCCAGTTTACAACGGCTGAGCGTTTCTAATGACGAGGTGGTGTTATCCTTTATTTACAACGATGCCAGAACTCGGGTTTGCTTTGTATACAATTTACCTGTCAATAACAGGTTGTCAGGGTAACAGGGTGAAGAGAGACATAAAAGGTCTAGGGAGGCTATTGTGAGCAATTAAAAAGTAAGTCAATAGTGGGTTGGCTGGCGGAGCGTCCTTACAGCACTCCGTTTAGGTGCATTGTGGTGTCTCGGTTTGCATCGATATTGCGCTTGTATCAGTTTTGATGAACAGTGCGCTAACAATTCCTATTTGAATCTGCCTGCAATTTAAGCTGAATTCGTGTCAAAACCAACGCTAATCTTTAGTCTATTTTCAGTCTGTAAATAGATGCAAAGCCAGCTTTCTCTATAATATTTTCGCCACGAAGAATAAGTACAGCGTTGGTTGGTTTGACTAAAGTAGGAATTAGTGCACGGTATAATGGGGGGGGGGGGGGGGCAATAGGTCCAAGGTTCGGTCAGAAGCAGGCTCCATACCCAAACCCAACCGCTCTTTTAAGTTAAGGGGAGTCCTGGTGTATGTTTACAACTAATTCCTTTCATAAGCGAGAAGAAGAATGTTCACTACCTCCGAGTTGTTCAGGCTATTGAGATATTTGTATCTAATCCACTGATTAAATACTACATGATGAATGCACCTTCTTGTTGGAGTTTCTCTTTCATAACAGCTGCCAGTTAGGGCTAATTGAGCGTCAGCTTCTCTGTGTTTTGAGCTGGGTGAATCATTCGGATAAACTCGAATCAGTTCATTAACAATCAGGGTGGTCATATGGATTTCATTGGATTTTCGTTTGTTTCGGACCCGGGGGCAGAAAACAAAGGTGAAATGTTTTTTTGAAGTTCTCGATTTGCCCTAACTTGTGTTGAAAGCCGTGTAGAACTGGTGTAAAATTGAAATTCGTTTCCGCTCCAACTGTAGTTTTGTTAGATTCTACAAATTCTTGAGGTACAATTACGTATAGTTTTACGATTCTAAGACTGGCTATCAGTACTCAGTTGTTTTTTCTTCAAGAGTTCACGGTTTGATAAAGTAATACTCCTGTCACAATTCGAACTTGCTTGCAAACAGTTTCTGCATGCGCTGAACGCTGGTTTTGGGGGCTGGCAGAGGCGTTATTATGGCATACTTGCATTTCTTTTCTATTTAGATTCCCATCAAAATCCAACTCAGTCAGATGGGATATAAGTCTTCTTAGTACATTGATAGAAGTTGGCATTTGGGTAGGAAATGGTGGATTTTGTGAAGCTGAAGTGAAGGCACACTCTTAGGGTGAAGTCAAAGGGGCTCTTTAAGCTGGTTCCCTTTTTATGCCAGAGGCCATTCCACAAGTTGCCATAGAAAAGGTTATTGTGCATGATAGGAGTTCATGGTATTGGGGTAATGAGTTGAGGATTGGTTAGTGCACAGGAGAGAGAAAGAGTCAGGTTTATTTCTTTCTCTCAGGTTGAAAAAATTAACAAGTAGAATGCTATAAGGATCAGTTCTGGGTCCTCAGTTATTTAGCACTTATATTAATAACTTGGAAAACTGCCAGAGTTTAATGTACCCAAATTTGCTGACATTGCAAAAATAGGAGGAAGGGCCTGATGTGATAAGAACATAATGAATCTGTAAGGGGATATAGATTGAGTGAGTGGGTAAAAGCTTGGCGGATGGAGTTTCATGTAGGACATACATGTTGAAAGCATGAATCAAAAAGTGATCCATAATCTAAATCAAGAGAGACTCCAAAAAAGTACAACATAGGGAGATTTGAGTGGACAGGTTTTGGGGAGTCAGGACGTGAATTAATTGCCACAGTATTCCTAGCCTTTGACCTGCTCTTCTGGCCACTGTGTTTATGCGGCGAGTTCAGTTGAGTTTTTGGTCAATTGTAACCCCAGGATGTTGATAGTGGGGAATTCAGTGAAGTTAATGCCATTGAATGTCAAAGGGTAGTGGTTATATTGTCTCTTATTGGTGATGGCCATTGCCTGGCATCTGTGTGGAGCAAATGTTACTTGCCAGTTGTTAGCTCAAGCCTGGATATTGTCCAGATCTTGTTGCATTTGAACATAGACTGCTTCAGCATCAGGAATTGTAAATGGTGCTGAACATTGTGCAATCGTCGATGAACATCCCCATTTCTGACCTTATGATGGAGGGAAGGTCATTGACGAAGCAGCTGAAGATTGTTGGGCCGAGGGCACTACACTGTGGAACTTTTGCAGAGATGCCTGGAGCTGAGATGATTAATATCGAACAATCACAACTATCACCCTACATGTCAGGTATGACTCCAACCAGTGGAGAGTTTGTCCCCTGATACCCAATAATTCCAGTTTTGCTAGGACTCCTTGATGCCACACTTGGTCAAATGTGGCTTCAATGTGAAGGGCTATCATTCTCTCATCACCTCTCAAATTCAGCTCTTTAGTCCAGGTTTGAATCAAGGCAGTAATGAGGTCAAGAGCTGAATGGACCTGGTGGAACTCAGTGAGTAGGTTCTTGCTGAGGAGGTGCTGCTTATTAGCACTATTGATGACATCTTCCATCACTTTACTGACGATCAAGAGTAGACTGATGGAATGGTAATTATTTGGGATGGATTTGTTCAGCCTTTTCTGTACAGGGCATATCTGGGCAAATTTCCACAGATGCCAATGCTGTAATTGTACTGAAAGAACTCAGCTAGGGGAGTGGCAAGTTCTGGAGCACAAATCTTCTGTACTATTGCTGGAATGTTGACGGGTCCCAAAACCTTTACTATATCCAGTACGTCCAACTGTTTCTTGCTATCACATGGAGTGAATCAAATTGGCTGAAGACTGGTATCTGTAATGCTGGGGACTACTGGAGGAAGCCAAAATGGATCATCTACTTGGTACTTCTGGCTGAAGGTGGCTGCAAAAGCTTCAGCCTTA